TTGTTAAGTTATCCGAATTTGTTAATTTAAAAAATTAATCTTTATACACTATTACCGGTGGTTCTTTTAAAATACTTTTAATAAATATATTTATAAAATTCTTGCTGAACAGACAAAAAGCTACTCTTTTTAAAGCAGACAAAGGTTGGCTAATTGCCCAGACATCGCACGCTGAAGGTTTTAAGAGATTTAGAAATCAGACTGGGTAGAATAATATTCGCTAGTTTTTGAATCCTTTTCATCACTTAACCTTCGGCATGTAATAAGTGGAAAATTGGCCAAACTTAAGCTGTTTTAAGGAAAAAGACACATTACAAGGTTGAAAAAGTTAATTTTCTTTTGTTTTTATTTTTAATTATGTCAGCTATGAGTGCACTCCGAACTGCCGCAAATCCCGCACTTATTTTTCTTTAATATTCTTTCACTTTTTTCAATCGCCGTTCATCCTTTGCATCTCCTTTTGCCATTTCTTCTAGAAACCACGCAGGGGGTTCAAGCTTTCTCTTACGGTTCTCTGTTGTCGCTACAGACGTTGAGGGACAGAATAAGTTCAGGTTGCACGAATCCGATGAATTAGATGCGGGACCAGACGCAGATAAACTCGATGGGCAGCAAACGGTACTCGTAGAGGTACTGTACACGAAGGAGAAGGCACCGTAGGTAACGAGGCGAAGAATTATTATTGGATTATCCATCACACGATTCGTAGAACTTATTAAAATGTTTCCATCTTATTTTTTCTTCTTCCGATGTTTTCGTTTTATCTAAGTTTCGCCTAAACGCGCGCGTTAAATTTCGCTATTTATGGCTACACTCTTCTCCCGAAAGCTTGTAGCCTGTTTAGTAGGACCCGAGAAATTCGACCCCAAAGTTTTGTCTTATCGATTGGCTTTTTAAAATCAATTTGTTTTTTAGTCTGGCATTGATTAAGAGCCGAGTAACAAATTAATACAAAAATATAGCCTTACATAAATATCTTACCAAATTCACCATCCTTTTCTACCACTCGAAATATTCTTACGATTTTTGGTGTTGTAAGATTTACATTATACGGAATATCTGATTGCATATTAATTTCTCCAAATTGTAAATCACGCAAATAGTTCTGCATATAGTTTACATCTAAGAAAAAAAGTCAAAAATATTACAGAATTTTAGGTTTGATTTCGTTACGCATTAAAAGAATATCCTCTTAGGCTATTCTTTTAATACGTAACGAAATCAAACCTAAAATTAACGTTAACGACTAAAAAAATGATGTCTCGCGTGTAAATATGTTGTTATATTAATTAAAATAATCTGTTAATGTACCCGATCTTAACTTATTCGGGTACATTCGTCAATAAGTAAATTTAATTGGAGACTATCGACGTAAAATAGAGCACGTATTGCCGAAAGTGACGACGTCTTTAACGTGTACTATAATAATTATGATTTGATGGAATTTTTAGTGACTCGCGAATGATGGTTTTGTATATTATTCTTTTAAGGTTGCGAGAGTCTAAATTGCGCGACATTGATTGGATTTCTCAGAAATTACATCTTTACATCTTAAAAAACACATCTAATGTGCAAATTTATATGTCGCTAGCACAGCTGCGATATAAATACAATAGTGTAAATATGTGACAATAGTGTCAGCGTATTTACGGACCTAATTTATGGTAAAAAATATACTTCACGTTTTTTTTGTATCTAGTAGTTCCAACAAATTACTGCGTAGAATAAAATGAGTGCAATTTTGATATTTCTCGCGCGTTAGCTGTTATGTTTATTGTGAAAAAGTTCCAACCAAAGTGAGCGCTCAGGTGCCGTTCCCGTGATGCATCACAACGATCGCCACCTGGCGGACTCACTAATATTTTACATTTTAATACAATACATATTACATTAGCATTTTGCTTTAAATTAATTTTTTTAGTTGTTTTACTCGTATGTTATTTCATTGACAGGAAAATTTTATGACGTAGGCCTATATTGTTTTACCGTGATTCCAGTCGCTCGACGAATCGAAGAATAAAAATTATAAAACTTTATTCGCGTATCTTTCGTCAATAGCGATCGTCATTTATTTTGCGGTTGCGGTTACATTGTCCCGTGTATTGTAAAACAAAGTAATTGTACTATCGAAAAGGAAACGAATAATTTGCCAAATAATTCCATTCCGTCATTTACTTATAAATATAAAGCTCTTTGGACAAATGAAACGTCCATGGCCGATGTAATCCGAACAAGTTTACAGTTTGAATAATTATAAATTTTCTTATCTAACGTCTAATTCGTGTTTATTTACGTAATTTCACTCGTAAACTCTTTGTGATTTATGAGCCATTCTTATCAAATTTGCGATACTTTAATTAAAGGCGCGCTAATTTTTGTCGGAATAGCGCGTTGTCATTTCGACGTAAGAACAAATCTTACGCTCGCTCCCTTTCATCCCTAAGGTTTTTATTATTATTATTATTATTATTAACGAGGAGCTTTACAATTTTATCATTTAATATTTTTATTACTATATTTTAATTTTATTATATCTAAGTTCATGTATAATTTATATTAAATAATTGTTTATTAAAGGTAAAGAATTCAAAATTTCCTCCTCTAAAATTTGCTCGTGGATCATCTTTCGGTTTGATTTCGTTCTTAAAATTTTTTGTAATAAGACAATATAAACTGACGTCGAATTTATACAAACGCGCACACACGCTATTTTGACGAAACGAAATGTAGCTCGACAATTCCAAACACCAAAATTGATAATCGGATAGAGACGGTTAAGACGTCGGACTAGGCGCCGGGAATCCCAGGAATTTCTGGATGTTGTCTGGTGCCAACACGCGCGTGGATTTGCCCAACCCACCACGGGTACGATTAGAAGTCTGGCGGAGCGGAAAGAATTAAAAAATAAATAAATAAACCACCGAAATTGTATACGAATCCGAGTGAATACATAACATTAGTATAGAACCACACGCAGCTAATTCTAAATTTTGCAGCTACTTAGTAATAGGGTATTGCTAGTATATTCAATAGCTCTTGTTTGGAACGTAAGCGGATAGGTAAAATTCCCAACGATTACATACAAATTCTTCGATCGATATGGAAATTTGTCCGATTTATCAAATCTCGTTTTTTTAAGATAATGGTTTCATAGTTAGCTCCTTACGGTTCTATACTCAACATATATTTTTGTTTCTGACGATTTTATATCGTTTTGTCATTGTACTGTACAGTACAATGACAAAACGATATTAGGTATATATATTATTCAGGTATATATTATATATTCAGGTTTATCTATTAGAAAATTTAATTCCGTCGTTGCAACCGCATACAACGGAAATCATCTCCTCTTTATGAAATTTCAGACAGTAACCAGCGTTTAGTGCGCATAGTATTTTTATAGACGTCACAATCACTCTTTTACAACGTCACACTGAATATTTTTTTATCGGATAGACATTTCACCTGCCATGAAAGTTAAAAATTTACACTTATTCTTTCTTGTTTTCGTTCATACTAAATTAATCGTAATCAAACCATTATTCGTGAAGTGTATACAGTAAAATCTGTCCGAAAACGCGCTCGAATAAAACGGAAACCCGCCTAAAACAGAAAAATTCTTCGAAACGGAGCGATCTCGTGTTTAAAAAACCCTGTTCAAAACAGAAACATGCCAAACCGGAAAAAATATTCGATACCGCTAGATTCCGGTTTACACAGGTTTGACTGATCTATATACAACAGCGAGAGATGACCCGTTCAAAAATTCCGGAAAATTACGTAAATATAAGTAAACAAGCGCGAGAAATATTTACGAAACTTTTATCTAGAAATAACGTGTGTAATCTTATCTATTTTCTTACAAGAACGAACAACTGTCCGTTCCACTCAGATAATAATATCGTCCTCTTTTTCTACGAAAAAACTCGTCTGTTCAAAGAGCAACATTTTGTAAAGATAATATTTTTATTTACAACGAATTAAAAAATTCGAAACGGTTTAGTAAAATTAAGATATTCGTAAATTCACTGATCAGTATTTTAAAATATTAACCAGCAATAGTTAAATTAATTAATATACACTTATTGATATCTATTATTCTATTTCTTAACAGTGCATTTCCTCAGTTTTTCGCAGTTTTCCGCATCTGACATACCAGTGCCGAAATGCAGTTGTCCAGATGGCCGAAATGGTTATTAATTAATCTTATTTCTGTACACTTCTGTCTTCGACTGTTACTCGGCGTGATTTTATATTTTTAGGCGTTGTCGTGTCGAAAAATCGGCTAAAATCTCTTTACAAGTCTTTGAGAGTATTACATCCGTTATAGCCCAACCAGCCTGGCTCGGACAGGCTGGCTGGCTACGTGGAGTTTTCCGGGTTTTCTCCACATCTGTAACGCCTAAATAGGGGCCAGTTTCCCTTAACAAGACCTCCCGGAAGACATCGCCCGAGTGTTGCGTTGCCGTAGCTTAAAAAAACAACATTCGCTATACGCGATAGAGGAGACCTAGAACCCGAAACACCAAAGATGATCATCTGACTGTCAGTTAAACCCGGTCTACTTAAAAACAATAAATTATTGATATATTCGATTATAATTAACGAGATTTTTGATGACATTTGCAGTTTTCGTAAAGAAAACTACAATGAAAAGTGTCAGAGGACCATATACACCAGAGTTCTTATTTTGCCCATAATCGCTTGGATATTTAGCAGTTTGGCTCAAAAGGGCCCGTGTCAATAAAAACCAAGCAGCACCTAATATCATCAGAAGTATATGTTAATATTCTTATAATTTTTAAAAATTTTAAGTAGCTTATAAATTATTTTTGTACTGTTATGTACAGTACCAAGCAATAAAACTGATGTCATTCGTTATCTCGACGTTTTTTATGCATATTTCACTATTCCGTTTGTTTTATTTCGTCATAGACGGTAATAGATATTTATCACTACGTCATCGTGATTATCATCAAAATTCCGGGTGCTAAAAGATATATAAAGTAGTAAACGTTTCCACTACATACAATTGTTTCGTTTGTTCGCCGTTAACCGAACCCGTTACGAGATGATGCCCACGTGTCTCCTAGTCCTTTTCTTTGCTGGTAATTATTTAAATTCTATTACTAAACTTTGGAATAATTCACAAATTTTATTCTATTAAACTAATTTATATTTTTAAATCAGCGGGTGTAGCATTGGCATATTCACCTTTTCAAACTAACCAATACATGGATACGGTTCTTCACACAAATCTTCCCGCTGACGGAGCGTATTCGAACATCGATCCGGCCAGATTAGGTAACTTCACCTTTGAAAGAAGAACTAAAGTAATGTTCATCAACGTCAAAGTTAAAATTGATTATTATAATGGAAACATGACCGGTATGTTCAGGGGCAGAAGGGCGAGAGACTGTTCTCCGATATATCGCGGTCCCTACGGTAACGCTACCCTTAACTGCACGGTGGAATTCAGAGATATAAAGTTTCAATTCCAGGGTAAGTTGAAATACGGCAAGCTCCCGACAACGAGTATCACCGTAACTGGCAGTATGTCTCCTAGTTACGCTTACGTCGAAGTGACTTCTAGATACGAATTCAATTCTCCGTCCCTTAGAACGATGCATTTAACGCAAACCGGAAAAGTTACTTCTAAATTCACAGGATTGGGTCCACTTAATAACGAACTGAAGAAGTTTGCGGAGGACGAATTCAATCAGAGATTAACCAGCGAATTTTTCAACGTATTTACCTATAACTACTTCCCCGCTATGGGAAGAGCGTGTACTCGTACCAGGATGCCTCTATAAAATGCTCATCTATCAGAAATTTTATATATGTAAAATTGCCAGCACAAAAAATTTACGCTGTGAAAATTTATAATTTCCATTGTTAAAAACACTCAAATTAATTTTAATTATATTACATCTGTTACGTTAATTCCGAATAAATATTATTTGTATCTCTGGTATATTATTTTCTTTAAAGGAGAGTTCCGTCGTATATTTAACCATATATATACAAAATCGCTGATACAAAACGAGGAAGAGTATTGAATCGCGTTTAATTTGACCCTGGGGTTTTTTCATATCTCCACGTTTTGAGACCTCTTAAACCTAAAAAAGTCAAAAAGGGGGGATTCCCGCGTGTACGTGGAGTGTTGGCGTTTATTTCGTTTAATATCTCGGGACGGGATAAAGATTAAGAAACGAAATTTGGCACGGTAGCTGGCGCGTAAGGGGCATTAATGCTATTAAATTTTGGCTGCGAAAAGTCAACGGGGTGGAGAAATAGAGAGTGGTCACGTATCGTTTCTCGAAAGGCATCGGACTTAACGAAGACTTTACTAGTTGTTAGCGCGTACAGTATTGTTTTGTTGTTGTTTTTTTATAAAACACAGATATACCTTCGAAATTAAGCGTTTTGCCATTTTGTAATGATTAATAATATAATAAGCTTTTTACGATGAAATTTCATAACAGATAGTGACACACCCAATTTTATTTATTTGTTTTGATTAATAATATAAAGTTATGTTTTACATACAATTTCGTAACAACCGCAAAAGTTACGCAACCGGTTGCTGGATTTTTTGTTTAACAATTGTATAAAATTCAATGAACAAAATGAACTAATAGAACTAATATACTAGAAAAATCTGAAAAATTTAGATTATGTAAGATACGTTACGGAATTAAATAAAATATTCGTTTATTTTTGCTGGTCTCGAATTAGTCCTCACCACCCGCCTAGAAAATACATAAAAATATTCGAAATTCGTCTATATCTAATACTGTATGTAAAAGTACGATTCTAATAAAGGACTAAAATGCAGCGGATTTTACCGTTTTGAATCGGCCACGATAATAAGCGACGGTTACTTTACTTTTATATTTATACTACAGTTACACTGGGAAGTGTAAGTACTCGTAATAAAGCTAAGATAAAGCAAAATAATAAAAATCGTGATACGTACCGACGAACTCGGTATGGTAACACCAACAATTATTTCAAACACCGCCACCGGTAGTAATTTTCGTAAAATGATTAAAGAAGTGATATCACCCAGTCATTCGAGAGGCCAAACGAAATGGCTGGAAATATACCGATGGCCACGTAAATATAAAGTTAAAGAAATACGGACAAAATGTAGAAAAACGAGACGTTCGGTCACCCTACTCGTTTTTCAACTTCCTTTTCGTAAAAGTTTAAAAAGTTAAGCTGTAAAATTATACGGCAGACCGGTTTGACAGACTCGGGCGTCGCACCCATTGTAGACTCACCAACACTTACTTACTGGCGGGTGAGTCTCGTACGGAGCACCCTTCGAATACTATGACAAGAAGAGTAAGCTAGTTATTTTAAAAATTTGAAACAGCGTATTACGGGCCCCTATTACTTTTCGGTCCAATGTACTCGGGATGGACGGTGGCCGAGCGAATAAAACCATCCCCCGACCGCGCTGACCGAGTAAAATTTTTCGCATTTTCTACCCTCGTGTAGCTTAAATACGGACCAATTTTCTATAGAAAAGTCCCCTAGGATGCGTCCCCGCTTGGCAGATGAGTCACGCGTTGCGTGACGTCGACCCAATGAAGTCACGTATTTGGTTAATACCGCCTTACGCCAGACTATGAGTAATAATAAGAGGTGTTTATCGCTACGTCATCACGATTATCGTCAAATTTCCGGGTGCTAAAAGATATATAAAGTAGTAAACGTTTCCACTACCGTACATACAATTGGTTTCGTTTCGTTTGTGTATATTATCATTTTACGTCGAAATAACTTTACTTATTCGAACTATCAATATTTTTATAATTTTATAATCTACGCGAAGTGCCGTATAAATTCTTCTACGAAAGTTACGTTGGGTTGGCCGCAAGTTTTAATCAATAAATATAGTAGCTAGGTACAAAATTTATTGAAAAATAAGAATGATTTTGCAAAAGCGTCATTATTATAAATGTAATTACAAGTAATCAAAAATATAAGAAAAGAATGATTAATTGAATAAAGAATATTCTCCATAGATTACTCCTATCGGAGAAAACTTTTTAAATGCTTTGGTTCGGATCGACCGTTCTTTCTGTCGACAGCCGTTTTATGTACTTTTGAATGTCGGTTCAAAATCGGTGCGTTAAGAAGCCACACTTTGCAAATTCACAGAAAGTTCATATAGCCTGTTCCACAACAGAAATACATATAAATAGGTTAGATTTGTAAGATTTGAAATCGTAATAAACGTGTAAAAATTTCAGCAACGAGTTTCAAAGAAAAACGCTAACCAGTGAAGCACATTAGTACAAAGTTAAAATTGTGTGTAATACCATCTGTCACCAGGGTTCGTTTCGAAAACTTTTATCTATATATATAAAAATGAATGTATATGTGTCTGTCTGTCCTTCATGCATTACCACACCGTTTATCCGATTGCCGTGAAACTTTGGGAAGTTGTTTAATATACTCAAGCGAAGGTTTGTGGCATAGTACGATTGCCATGAAACTTTGGAAAGTTTTTTTAATTTTTTAATACACTCCCGCGTAGTACATTTATCCTACGATAGATGGCGCGCGTTTACACGAGCATTCGCGCACAGTGTGTTCGATCGATTTGAAATTGTGAAGATCATTTCTCACCTTCAAAAAATATCTCTATATATGCATTTGCGAACTGTTATTTACGATATTTGTAATAATTTTTCTTTAATCACTTTATTTCAACTTTTTTTGCTAATTACGTAATCGCTGGAACTTCGTTAAAACCTTAACCGTACCCCGAACAACGACCGAAGTTGTAGGAAGAAATTCGCGTATTTTACCGATCTAGGTATCCCCTCCTTTTCCAAATTTTAATATCGACTCAAAATAATTTAAAAAGACAAATTAGAATAAAACGGTTTATTATCCGACTATCAGAAATTTCACAACACGCCAAAGAAGAGAGGAAGGAACAATTAAATGATGAAAATTATAAAGGATTTTAAAAAATATATAAAAATGAGGAATATCGCACTTCTGACAATCGCTGCGAGTGTGTGGGTTAAATTTGGAGAATCTGTGCTTCTCGCATGGACAACTGTATGTGGCCGGCTCACGCGTCAGAAAACCTTCCGATTTATTCGTGTACGCACCAGACAAAAAAACAAAAAATATCGTGTATCCACGAGCACTCCAATAAATAAATAGAATTGAAACGACACTTTGAAATGTTTTCCCGATGAAAATGAATAATAAGTTTCGATAAAAATGATAAAATGTAAATTGAATTTTATCATAACGAGTTTGCTTGAATTTCGTTTCTTCTGAGATCGCAGCAATGCGCAATGGGTAAGATAGTATTATTATAAAACGGCAAAAACCTTTATTTTGTGGATGCGCTCGACTTCGATCAATATCGAATCTTTAAACAGTTAGCCTAATATGAAATGTAACAATTTTTATTCAATGTAAAAATTTATGTGCGCTTCAATCGTGAAAATTGCGTGTACAGTTTTAATTGTTGAAGTAATTATAATTCTGCTTTGGACACATATCGACTGCGATTTGTGTTTTTGATTAAACTTCAACCAACGTTTAGTGCATTCTAGTGACCGATATTCGTTACTTTGTAGTGAAATCTTTTACTAGTAGAACATCGTTTGAAATGCAGTCTGTATGGGCCTATAATAGATCGCTTTGGCCGGTTATAATCGTTTAAACAGTCCTTAATTAAACACGACAACACTGGTTAACGTTTCCTTGTCATTTTGTCACTGTCGTTGTTCTACGCGCTTTAACCGAGATGAAAGAACGAATCTCGAATGTTGTCGAAGTATCCGTCCGTAAATTGGTATGGAAACTCGAGCCCAGTTGATTAAGTCGTAGCCGGGCGAAAGGTCAATTCCGGGTAGGCGTGTCACATTCGATGGAAAGTCGAAATCCGTGCGAGAAGGCCTGGACAGAGAAAAGGTTTACGTTTTCCAGCAGCAAAACCACCTTTTCCACCCAGGCCTTTTACGCTCGACGGATTCTTCCGCCATTTCTTCGGACTCCTTTCTATCCAGTCCCGTCTCACAGCGGCCGGATGGCCGAGCGGTCGAGGTGGCAGCCTACCGCTCTGGGAGACTCGGGTTCGAATCGGAACGGATCGAAAAATTCCCAGGTATTTTTCAGTGGGTGGTCCGTTCGGATATGTCGGGCCCGGTCCCTCACCACCCGGCAGCCCCATTGTAGGCCTGGCCGAACCCGTAATGGGCTTGCAAAAAGAGACCCTCTTAGTGCCCACAGGGCGGAAGCAGTTTAAAAAAAAAGTCTCGCCCCACCTGAACGTGTTTCCACCGTCCATTCCGGAACTTCGGAGTATCGCCGCTCCAGATACTGGACGAGAGAGGAGGCGCCGGCGTCCGGAGTTACCGCGACCACCCGTTTGACGCCGGGTGTACGCGACTCCTCGTCCGCATCTTTCGGAAGTACCCGTATTACGCCGGGCCAAGACCGAGCGTCATCCTCGGGCTCGGCACGGCCCGAGGTGTCCAACTTCAATTCTTTGAAATTGTCCATTCTGCCAGGAAAAATCGGCGAATGTTGCGAAAACGGAACTCGCATTAATTAAGAAATAACAGGTTTAATCTTCATTTTGCTTTAACAATTCGATCGGAAAATTAACAACGAAAAGACTGAGTCGGCTTCCTCCAAATATATGAAAAGATGCGATTCTTCCAAAGGAAACCGATTCATTCTTATCGAAAACTACCGCCGCTAATTGCGATAATTTGCTTATCAAAGTTAAAAAGTGTTTAAATCTAGAAAAATCGTAGTCTAAACACTTACATTACTTAAACAATCGCTGCAAACGAAGCTAAACTGGAAAAAGCACTCGCCATAAATAATCGCACGAGTCAACGATAGATCCTCTCCGACGAGAAGATAATGTTATCGTTGCCTACCGACCGAATTTCGTGTCAAAAATTTGGATCCTTAATATCTGA